AATTATCTGATCAATGAAAAGACACAACCTAAATTACCTTACACTACCTATATTATTATCTATCTCTGCTTTTTAAATTAATATTTTCTCCCTTTTTTTAAGCGTCAATTTTTTTACACAAGAAAATTAATAAATTTTGTTATTTTTCAATAATAATTGTCAATCTTGTATAAAAAAATAATTGTCATTTTCTTCATAATACTCTTAATTATTTGATTAATTTATTTGAATTTTATTCTCTCTATCATAAATAATTAGGAGGTAGTTTTGAAAACTTACAAGAAAGTAGCATGCAAACGGACAAAAGTTGCATTGCTATTCTTTTTTTGGATGGTATAATTGAACCTCTTAAAAATTATATTTATTATCTTAGTCGATATAACATTGTTATGTGTAATACGGTGAGAGAACTGACTTTAGGGTTTTGCATTTTATCGTAAATGTTGTGGATAGCAAGAGTTGCCACCGACTTTTCTTTTATCCAATAAAGGAAAGGGTGAAAAGAACAGGAAAGACCTTTGAGAATTTTTCTGAGTAAAGAGGGTAGGTTATGAAAAGGGAAGGTGTTAGCACCCTTTTTATCCGTAATTTTCTACGGGCTCTTAATCGCTAGCTCACTTTTGGAAATTCTTTGTGTTTATGTATGTTTGGAAAATATTTTGAAAATGCCTAAGTGCGGAAATTTTGTAATGATTCTCGTATCGTTGAGAATGTATACAAAATGTTTGTTTTGAAAATATTTTGAAAGAAGGTGTTGTTTTATGAAAAGATGTTTTGAAGATGCCAATGTAAGGCAATCTGTTTTATAGTAACCCTTGTATCAGTCCTCAAGAGTGTTTATAAAGTGTTTTGAAAGTAGTTGTTTTTGAAAGTGTGAGGTGTGAAGATTGTTTTATTTTTGTGAGCAAGCGATCTACCTACTCAAATAGTCTTTGTTCTTTTCCTCCTCCTTTAGATAGTGTTATCCTACCATTAGTTAGTAGGAAGCCCTATCGTTAGATGTGTGAGGGACAAGTACGGGTCATCGTACAGTTATAAAGGCAACTTGTAGGATGCTTTAGCAATTTTCATAAGGGACTAAGATCGTTTACCGAAGGCAACATCAAAGGGTCATCGAGGGACTACGATCTTTTAAGTGAAGGATCTTTATTAAAGTGTCCCACGTTCGAGGAACATGACTGTTTAAATCTGAGGCAACAAGTGAGGGTAACCCTAGAGGTGCGTGTGTGTGAAGTATTTTGATTTCAGTTATTTTTGTCTTGAGATTAGGTTTTTCTAATGATTGATTTTAAATCTTGTCATACAAACCCTAATTACTAACAGAAATAAGGAAAGCAGTAAATTATGGAAATTAGATATCCTACGCTATTACAACGCTTCGGGAATGGGGGTACAAATTTATGAATGGGAATGAAAAGAAAAGTAAACTCTAATTAAAGCTATTACATACTATTAGCAGTTACAATATTGAAAAATACTAATGCGAAAATAAAGTGCGCGAAGGTGGTGAAAAGGGGAAAGATGTTTAAGAAACCCTAAAATATTTCTAAGTGTTTAAGAGAATATTTTGTTTAGAAAAATATTTGATAGTGTAAAAAAATAACAAAACTTAATTCTATTTATTTTACAATTTAATTAACAAAATAAAACAAAGTGATTAAAATAAATAATTTTTATTTATGAAAATTAAATTAATTAATTAAAAACTTAAATCTAAATTTTTTGTGATTTTATTATTTTTTTCTGATTAAATAAAAATGATTTAGAAAAGAAAAAGTTAATTAAAATATTAAAAAAAAAAAAAGTAAAATGTTGGGCCTGTGTTGTAAGCTAAATGGGGGATGTGAAGACAACAATTTTACAAGCCCAAACTAGCCAAAGCCCAGGTCTGTGTTGATCCAATGTGGTTGTCCATGGAGGGTTAATCATAGGCGCGCTGGTTTTGGAACGTTGGATCAAGATAACTGAGGTATGATGGTTGTAACATGAGGAAGTATGGTGCGCGTATATATCTGGCTTGCACTGAATCTACAAGAGAAATATTAGAAAATAAAATGTCAGAGGCAGAGATCGAATCCCTGCCCTGGCACACTAACGCCTTATACACACACACGCTTGCCACTGGGGTGGCTGTTTCATCCGGTTATGAAACAACACTCATTAAATATATTACAAAACATGTTCACAAGTTCAAATTTATGAACTTCATCTTCTTCCTCGTGCCAGAACAATAACAACACCATTTTCAAATCTTAAACTCATCCATTTCTCAACCATTTTGAAAGATGTAAACATCAAACCTGTTTGAATTTTAACCACGAATTCAACCATATAACTTTCAAAAGCTATAGATCAATGGTTAGGACGAATTTTGTTTGGTACCAAACTGAAAACCTAATGTTTCAGAAACTTCAGTTTCAAAATTCTCATCACATAGTTAATTAAAATGCAATTTAAGGACATGGTTAGTTTCATGAACATGATATCTACATTTTATCTTTAGAAAATAAATGCAAATGATGCTTGTACAGAGATTTCAAATTTTGGAAAACTTACCTCTTTATACAAAATTCCAATATCCTCTACACGACTGCCAGAGGTGAAATGATGATTTGGTGAGCTTGCTTGGACCCAGAGGAAGCTGTTTGGATGCTCACTTGGTGTTGAGAACCTCTGGATACCTCTGACCAAGTCAACTTACAAATATGAAAAGTAAAAATAGTGGATGATGAAGATGATGTTACAGTGATGAAACAGATCCTTAAATCACTTATATATGATATATATGAAGTGTTTGGATGATTTGTTTAGACAAAAGTTGCAAGAGTGATGAGTTTCGAAGTTAAGGTTTCAAAAGCTTTAAAATGGAGGTTTTGGGTCAATTCTGATTTGAGAGAGTTTGAGAGGGTTTTAGGACTTATGAAAACGTGTTTTGGCTTGCAAATGACCTCTCTATTTATAGAGAAAAGGTTTGAGGATAAGGGTTGATCTGATTTGAAAGATAGCATGTTATGGTTTGGTTGCTTAGTTTTGAAATAACTTTGAAGAACATGGTTCCAATGCAATGTAGGGTCGTTGACAGACTTAGAGATGTTGCTTCTGGTTTTTACATTGTGTGTGTGCAGAAGAAACAATTGAGAGGCTCAAAGAGAGTGGACTTTGTGATTAAAGTCACTTTACAAGAATGAAAGTGTGACCTTTCTCCCTTAAATGACAAGTAAGCTTGGACAAACTTGAATAACTTGGATAATGACTAAAAAGTGGGTGCAATCTTCTGATTATGGATAGATTTGGAGGTTTAGAGGCCTACAAAGTGAGATTATGCAGCATGCTTTGAAGACTTGGTTATGAACTTATCACAAAAATGACCTATAATTCAAGAATGGATGCCTAACTTCATGTCTTCGAATCTCCTAGCTCAAGTATGATAATTTTGTGTTCTTTGACATTTTGAAAAGCTTGAAATATTATCTACAACTTTCATGCTGACCACTTTGGCTAAATAAAATGGGAACTTGGTGAAATTTGGCCAAGTTAGGATAAAAAACTGATCAAAACTTGTTTGAAAAAAATTCTAAGTGTTGGGTAAAAAACATCATAACTTCATGGGCTTATATCTCTTGAATTAAGCACTTTTTGAGGATCACCCCACATTATCAAAGTTGCAGACTTCATCAATTCCTACAACTTTCATGTTGAAAGTTTTCCTCGAATCAGCTTGTATCTTGAGGAAACTTGCTTGTGAAGTTAGGATTTTTTAGGTACAAAACACTTGAATTTTTTCTAAGTGTTTGAAAATCTTGACTTTTGACTTTTGTTGACTTTCTTGATTCTTGAGGATAAAATTTGATAGTTTTGAATATTTTGATGATTCTTGATTTTTGAATTCCAATGTTGACCAAAAAGTCAAAGTTTGACTTTTATGTGACTGTTGATTTTTCATCAATTGATTCAATTCTTCAACTATCAATCACTTATATCTTTGAAAATATCGTGAGCCATGTAATTAGGTCAAGATGTTGTATTTGAGCTCTTGAGATCATGCCTCAAGCCATTAGGTCATGCACTAGGTAAAAAGTCAATGATCAGTCATTCTCAGTCAAAACCCTAATTTAGCAATTTTTGACCTTTGATGATTTGAGGGCTTTCCTTGAGGAATTATGATCAACCCTTAATCAAATGATGAATATCACCTCAAAATGTTGATGTTGACCAAAATTTTTGATGTTTGACTGTATGTTGACTATAGTTGACTCTTTGTCTAATACATTTGATTTTCAGTCATCTGAGCAATTGACTGAGCAAGCTTGTGATGCAAGACTTGAAATTTGACATAAGTATTATTGAGGACCTATGATGAATCATGAAAGTCATTTGAGACCTTTGCAACCGAATCTTCTTTGAGAAGCACCAAACTCTAGTTGAAGACCTTGTTTAGGAGGAGGTTTTGACCAGTCAACTCTCGAATAGTTTTGAACAAATAGGTATCTCATGAGAATGTCTTGAAAAAAATGGAAAGGCAAATTTTGAGGTACTAGTACGAAAGCATGTTAATCACGTAAGCAAACAAACCTAAATTTTTCAAGTGCGTTCCATTTTATTTGTCATTGTTACCTCAAGTTTTGCTCTAGAAATTTATATAAAATCAGCAACTAATTCAAGAACTGCCTAAGTATTGATAGATATATAAAAAATAAAAATAAAAACTCCAAACACAAAAATAACGATAAACAAATTTAAAATCATATTGAGATCATATACAAAATTAAAGAAATTAAGAAGTCTTACTAACCATATACATCATGAATGAAACTGCAAAAACTAAAAAAATCAAAAGCTGATAAAGAACCTCTACTTCCAAGATCATATTAGCTTTGCCAAACACATGACAGTAACTAAGTATCTGAAGGCATTGGTTTTCCATAAATTCTTAACACACTATTCTAAGCCTAATTATGTATTTGCATCATAAAGTAGCCGAACGAAAAATCTTGAAAGGATCAAAGAACTGGACAGCCTTTAACTATAATGCCCTTTGCAGTAGGACAACCAGCCAAGGGACATCCTTCAACATTATTTCCCCACCAGGTAAGGCTAATGTTGTTTGAACCCAAAGTAAGAAACAGTAAGATTGTCATGAAGGCGGTTCCAGCATCAAGACCGCCAGAAAAAACATAATTGTAGCGCTTCCACCAATCCTGTTTATATCGATATATAATGTACCCTGAGATAAAGCCAACAGCAATCCAACTTGTGAAGTTGACAGCAGTTGCCGGAGGCATCATTGATGTAGAACCCAACAAGACAGGCATGTGAATCAGACGAATCCATGTTTGTCCCGGGAATGCCTTGTGAGCAAGCCAAACTAGAAAAGGTGCAATGGCTCCACCAAGGAAGAACCAATTCACGTTGCTGTATTCACCGAGGTTTCCGAAGATTCTGCGTGGTCCAAGAAGTCCCCATATTACTGATGCATCATAGAAGACATTGTCCATCGGGCAAGTCCAAGGGCTATCAGATGGTAGTTCGGAAGTATCGCAAAGGTCAGGGATCGTCCCCATCAACCACCAAGCAGTTACTGTGTATACAAGTACTGATATGAATGTTCCTACCATCTACATACAATGCAGACAAATTTAGTTTCTTAACAAAGAACTCCTACTCTAGAAAAAGCTAACACATACATGGACACCTGATACAACACTAATACATCAACACGAGTAATAATTTAAGAAAGTAAATGAATTGAATCTAATCATATGTGTTAGTGTTAGACATAAGACACACATTCAATCAGAAGAGTCGGTGCTATAGAGTTCATAATTTATGAGATTCTAGTGGTTGCAATTTATAATGAGAGGAATCATAACTGACCTGAGCCATGAACATTGTTCTTGGTGGAATCTTCATATAATGACCAAGTTTAAAGTCTGCCAAAAATGTTAGTGCCTGAGCCATGCTAATATAGCCATACACCTTAAAGCACATGTTAGCCACAGGGCGCTCCGGATACATGTAACCAATTATGTATTCTGTTATAATGTTTAAGCCTGGTTGCTGTTAAAAAGAAAAAGAAATCTTAGACAGCTATAGCACCAATATAAAGTTAGCAAGTTTTGGAAGTAAACTATTAACATACCTGATTTGTAGTGGCTGTTATTATACCGATTGGAAGAGTGAATAAAATGGAAATAGCACAAGCTAGCAATACACCCCACCAAGGCAACTGAAGTGATTCGTTGTAGTACTCACAAATAAAAATAATAAGAGCTATGTTCACCACTAGAATTATGTGAAACCACCACATGGGGACTGACTTGTACTTCCTCATAAGTCTTGAGTGTATGTCAATTTTTTTACCAGCTCCAAAAGCACTTTTACTTTGTGCCCATATTTCCCTGCACAGTGCATATTATATAAGTGTAAATGAAGTTAAAGTCTTGCAAGACATCATGTATTTTCCAATAAAATTTGAATATGGTAAGGAGGATATTGCCGATTTCCATATTAAATTCATAAGAATAACATCTTTACTTAGTTGAACATACTCAAACACAAAGATCTGAATAAGATGATTCACGAAGTGGTTACCTTCCATGGAAGAGAAGAACATGCACAATTGTAGCAGAAAGAGTGGCGAATCCAAGACCATAAGTCATTGCAAAGAATGTGCTGAGATGTAGAGACCCATTCTTTGCATAAGCATCCCGATCAAGATGGAAATCAGAATTGACAATGGTTGAAATGTCATAGATCGAACCATTTCCCATAAAAAGCTTATTTGAAAATATAGGAAAAATTTTGGCGTTGTAGACATTGAACCAGTAAAAAATTGGTGTCATCACATACATAATGATAACGAATCCAACAGCGATATTTGCAGTAGCAAACCATGGGCTGGCTAGTGGACTGCCAAGGTAAGAAGAAATTGTAGACCAATCAAAACCAAATGCAGCAATCCCAAGACCATTCATACCAGAACCAAGTTGTTGGACAAAGATAGACTTGGGAGCAAGCCAACACATCCAAGCAAAAGATGTCAACATTGAAAACATGTAGCCTGGTAACACATAGTATGCCATTCCAGAGATCATGACAATGACGAAAAACTGAGTCCGGGTTGTGGCTCCTTTAGGTCTTTTGCTTTTCTCATGCAGAGCACTGCATTAATATAATGGATTTAGAATAGTTACATTTTTGCAAAAATTACTTATACTGAAGAACGCAGTAATTCAATAGAACTCACCTGAACAATGAGACCTGGACCAGATTAGAAGGCCACCACATTTCCGCAGGCTCAACGAGAAATTTCCTAAACAGTCCTGCCCAACCAAATCCCAGCACCTAAAATTGAATAGAGAAGCATAAGGCGATATTCGGTATCCAACACCAGTATGACACTCATACAACATATTTCGGACAATTCAGACAAGCGTTTCAAAAATGATTTGTTTTTGGCAAGCAAATAAGTTGGAGAAAAGGTATAGAATTATAACTAGATATACAGAAGAGAACCTGAGTGGTGAGCATGAGTAGTATGGCTGGAAGAAAACCGAGTTTCCTTTTGTACATGAGCTTCACTGCACTCAAAATATGAGTAGCATAAACGGTTCCAGCACCAGAATTAGCAAAGATGGTTATGAGAACATGCTCCTTGATATTGAATGGACCTCTATTCATTGAGAATTCAAACCGTGTATCTTTGAAGAAGACCCTAGTTGGCAACACTCTTGCCATGAAATGACCAAGTGGAACAACAGCAATCTGAGCAGAAATTGAAGTGACACTCAAAGGCTGTGTTCTGTACCAAAAGAATTGGTTCACAAAGGACAGAACCACACATGAAAGAATCCCAAGAACCCACATTCTAAATGTGACAACAGGTAATGTAGGGTCATCAGTTTTTGATACTGTGAGTTCAACTTGCTTAACAGGACACTCTTCATCCTCATTCACCTCGGTGTCACTCTTTTTTGACTCAATGTCAAACCTTGAAGACATGGTTGCAATGATATCCTATCCTTCTTTTGCACAAAAACAAATTATGAGATCAATTATAGAACATATATGAAACTCAATCAAGTCTTATGTATACATGTAAATACAAAATGAGACAGTATGAGGCATCAGTGTATCATACAGAAAAGAACACTTAGAAGCATTACAGCATTTCAGGCTGAACAAAAAGTCTAAGAATTCAGCAAAGTTGACTGTACTAAGTCTATGTATTGTTGTATTTACGTTGGTATGTGTGGTACCGCTTATCCAAACAAGTTCTTTCAAGGTATCAAATCATTATAACTTTTTTCTTCCACTTTTGACTCAATGATTAATTGTTATGTTTTGGCAATAAAAATAGGCAGGCGCTGGAAATTTACTTGCAACGCAAACAAGGATAACAATTATGTTAAGTCCAATAAATTTTAATTATTTAACAACAATCTTAAAAATATTCAAATTTTTAAATGTACAATCTTAAGTTAAAAAAAAGTAGTATAAATTTAAATGACCAAAAGATTACGTTTTTTAGCTTTTCAGGAAATAAATAGACAAATATTAAATATAGATTTGACATGAAAAACAAAACTTGCGTACGGGATACGAATCTTAAAAATCAGTATAAATTTTAGATTCTTGTAACAATTTTGGTTCAAAGAAGTATGGAATTGATTATTTTAAAATAAGTATACAAATGATTTTTGTCTTTAACTTAATTTTAACTTGAAGTTAAGATTTTATCTTTGAATACACAGTTTTGCAGCTCAGAGCATAAACACTTATTAAAATAAGTGCTTATGTATATGTTTGAATAAATAATTCCAATTGTTTAACCACAATTCTAAAAGGATAAATTAAAATAAAATTAAATAATTAAAAAAATGAATGTTTAGGCATTTTAAGCTAAAGTGACCTAATTCAATATTTATAAAATAACTTTGATTCCTAAAAAAAGAGACTTTTAAGCTACTTTTAAGGCCGCAAAGGGAAAAGAAGTTAAAAACCTAAAAGCAAAACTGTTGAACCATGGACCCTACTAACGAACTCCAAGAACAACGATGCATTAAAATTGGAATTGAACGAACTGAATTTCAATCTCGTATACCGAATTCAAAACATGAAGTTGAAAAGTGAGTCATGATAAAACTACATACAGCAAAATCCAATCCAAAATGAGTAACATGCAAACACGAACGCTACAATGGCGCAGTGAAAACAGAAACTGAAGACGTGATTCCATAATCAAAAGATTAGTTTTATAATTATGATTAGTGAGTAATGCAAGAGGATTAAGAGGAGTTAATTTAATTACCTTTGAGAAGGATGGATATGAGAGTCTCTTCTTCTTCAACTCTGCTTGTGATGTGGAGCTTCTCCTTTTCTATTTTATTTATAGAACATCCAATCCATTTTTATTATTATTATTTAATTTGAAACAAACCCGTGCATCATCTTTTCTTTTTTTGAAACTAATCTTGCTTGTTTATCTATTTATTGTTAACAATGATTATCAACTTATATTACTAACTAACTACTCTTTTATTTTAATTTAATTTTTAAACTATTACAATTAATTAAAAGTATTTCAAACTAATCTGGATTTTCTATGTCAGTAAAATTTTACTATTTTTTTATGATTACCGTTATCATTTTTTATCATAATTATCAAGTATGTTTGAAAAAATTTTGTTTTATTTTAGTAATTTTATAAGTTAAAAACATTTCAATTAAGAAATTAAATATATTTGGAGAATAAAATAGTAAGACATTTTTCTTCTTTATTTAACTAAATCCTAAGCTACTATATTATTAAAAATAATTGTACGATATTAAATAATAATTTAATATTTATTAGTGTAGATATTATTGGAAATCCATTAAAATTTATGGAGAATTTCTATCAATCTTAGTGAACAATATTGTTATCACTACACAATAACGATGAAAAGAAAAGAAAATTAAAAAAGAAAAAGAGATTAGGGTTCCTGCAAAGTAATTATCTGCTCACAAACTCTGAAAAATCTTTATTCACTTGCAACTGTAAATTCTGTGAATACAAGTTGTGAGTTATATAATAATAGGGATTACTCTCTCTATTTATAGTTGTAGTTTAGCTTTCTCCCTAAGGCAAAAAACCCAAAACTATAAAAGTCTGGAATATTTATTTTAGCCCTAAGTCGAAATTTTGTGTGAAGCAACCTGCTTCGACACTTCGACACACACAACTCAGCACACACATTTAGGCTATTTCGACACACCTTGTGTCGAGCAACGTGTTACTTTCGACACAAGGAATTACACTTTCTACACACCACTTAATTCATTGTGTTTAAGATATCTACATTCATCATAACTCGTAGTCTTCTGAACACTTCGACCCGCACACCCTTCATCATGATGTCTACAATCTTATTCTTAGTTCTACAGTGTTCCAAGTTCATCTTCCCATCTACTATCTGCTCTCGAAGATAATGGAACTTTATCTCGATGTGCTTGTTTTGACCATGTGCCATCGAAATCTTCGTCAGGTTGAAAGCTTACATGTTGTCGATCTTCATAGTAATTGCTCCATGATCTTTTCCTGTTATTTCTTCGATCAAGTTCACCATTCATGTTGCTTGACATGCACAAAGAGAAGAAGCTATGTACTTTGCTTCGCACGATGATAATGCCACTATCGGTTCCTTTCTCGAACTCCAAGCAACTGGTGCACCACCTAACATAAACACATATCCTGCTGTGGATTTTTTATCCTCAGTATTACTACAGTAACTTGAATCAGTATACTCCACTAACTTGCATTATTTTCCTTTATCACCTGTGGGAAATAAAATGCCATAGTTAAGAGTCCCTTTTAGATACCTCAGTATCCTCTTCATCGTTGCTGCGTGTGATACCTTTGGCTTCTCCATGAATCTACTTACCATACCTACATTGTATGCTAAGTCAGGCCTTGTGTGACAAAGATATCTTAATAACCTAATAAGTATTTTGTATTAGATTGGGTCGACATCATCTTCATCAACATATTTCGTCAATTGCAGTCTTGGTTCTGCAGGTATCAAAGTCGAGTTGCACTCTTCCATCTCAAATCTCTTAAGAATATCACTTGCATATCTTCTTTGATGCATCATCAAACCTCTACTATTTTTGTATTATTCAATGCCAGTGAAATATGAAATATCACCCAGATCCAATATTTCGAATTCCTTACTGAGATCACCTTTGAAGTCTTCGATCTCCTTCTTGCAGCTATTTGTTATTAACAAGTCATCGACATAGATACATAGTATAAGCAACTCACTATTGCTTCTTTTTACATATACTCCATATTCAGTTGTGCACTTCACAAATTCCTTTTCCCTTAGAAAACTATCTATTTTCTTATTCCAAGCTCTTGGAGCTTATTTCAATCCATACAGGGCTTTATGCAGTCTGTACATATTTCTCTCTTCGTCGTGCTTCACAAACCCATCTGGTTGTGCAACATAAACTTGTTCATCTAAGGTTCCATTAAGAAATTCACACTTCACATCCATCTGACATATGTGTCAAATGTTCATTTATGCTAGACCAACAACCACCTGATTGTTTTGATTTTAGCCACACGTGTAAAGATTTCATCAAAGTCGATTCCTTCCTACTGAAGAAATCCTTTCACCATAAGTCTTGCCTTGTGTCAAATTACTTCCACTTTGGGATTCAACTTCACCTTGTATACCCATTTCACATTGATTGCCTTCTTTTCTTGAGGCAATTTGACAAGTGACCAGGTGTTGTAGTCTTCGATGGACTTCACTTCTTTATTCATTGCTTTCACCCACTTTGAATCCTTTAATGCTTCAGCTGCATTGACTCGTTCGACATCTGCATAGAAAGCATAATGTACCATCTCACTTTTATCATCGACTACATTATTTGATGTGATCACACATTCTTGCAACCTTACAGGCATGTGTCATGTTCTCTGAGGTCTTTTTGTACCTGATTGATCTCTAACTTCCTCTTGTCGAACTCTCTTTCGACTTGAGTTTCTGGTTCTTCAAGTAAGATTCTCACTGAATCTTTCTTGATATTTTTCAGCCCAATCCCATTCTTTAAGCTCATCTATGATCATGTCCCTGCTGATTACAATCTGCTTGTTCACTGGGTCGAACAACTTGTAACCTCCTATCGAATGATATCCAACTAGGATCATTTGACCCGAATTGTCATCAAGTTTTCTTCTCAACTGATCTGGAACATGTCTATGTGTTATAGATCCAAACACTTTCAGATGACTTAAGGTAGGTTTAACACCAGACCAACATTTTTTGGAGTAATTCCTTCTAAATTCTTTGTTGGACATCTGTTCAAAGTGTATGTTGTTGTCGACACAGCTTTTCCCCACAACTTTTTGGGTAGATACTTGTTATTCATCATACTTCTCACCATGTTCATGATGGTTCGATTCTTTCTTTCTGTTGTGGAGTGTAGGGTGGTACCACCTCATGTATAATCCCTTATTTCTCACATAATGTATCAAAGTCTTTTGACATATACTCTCCAGTCTCAACCACCATTAATTCTCAAAACTTTTAGCTTTCGACCACTTTGCCTTTAGATCATAGATTTAAACTTGGCAAATACCTCGATCACTTCACTTTTCTTCTTGATCAGGTAAGTCCACAACTTTTGAATGAAATCATCTATGAATATTATAAAATATTTGTTACCTCCCATCGAATCCACCTGGATTGGTCCATATACATCAGATTATATGACTTCAAGGATTGCCTTCGACTTGCTTCCTGCATCCTTATTGAAGTTGTTCTTGTGCTGCTTCGCCTGCACACATTTCTTACACACCTCATTTGGAATGTCAATTTATAGTAATCCTAAAACCATATTTCTTCTCTTCAAATCTTTGTTGTCTCTGAAGTTGAGATTGCCAAGTTGATAATGTCATATCCACTCATCTCTTCTAGCTGCAGTTGGTAGGCATTTGTGCTCCATCACATTTA